GCCGTTCCCATTAGTGATGGGGCGGAAGGTGGTGGCCGGGAGCATGATTGGGGGGATCAAGGAGACTCAGGAGATGATTGATTTTGCAGCCAAGCATGGTATCTTGCCGGATGTGGAGATTGTGCCGATTGACTATTTGAACACGGCCATGGAAAGGCTGGCGAAGGGAGATGTCAAGTACAGGTTTGTGATTGATATTGGGAACACGCTGAAAGCTGAGTGAGTTAGTGATTGAGTTGTGGTTAGAGAAAGAGTGGGAGCTATTTTTTGAGAAATTGTTCTGTTTCTGGGTTTATGGGTGTTATTATCATGTTCTGTTTATTTTCTGCTTTGTATTGTTGATCCTTGAATAAATTTCAGTTTGATCCTTGTTATATTGTTGTATGATGGTTTATGATATTTGAGGTGGATGCATTTGTTTGTACTGCGGCCTTTCCCATATCAACAAGTAAGTAGTATGATTTTGATACAGAGCAGAAGCAAGTTGTTAAAATTCACCCTTTTATGATAGTTAAACTTGGTTTTTCCGCTCTCAAAAAATGAGAAACTTAGGTGGGTACAATTACAAAGACCCGACCCTACCAAATATAATTAGTACCAGCCAAATATGATTAGTACGAGATTTGACTGAACAGAATAAAAGTCCGTAGACCCAAATATGAATAGTAGTTATTGCCAGACTGGACTGAACGGAAAAGGTCGTAGACCGAAACAAACAACGATTTTAAAAGCATTCATAAATAAATTTGTATGCATATGCTTTTATATCTTGTATTTTTTTTAGCACGTAATTACAGTAACATTTTGAAATCTAACAGTGTTTCAATCAGCGGACTGTTTTAATTGTTATTCTATTAGTTGTTTTGAACGCTATATTGTGTTAGAGAAATGTATCGCTATATAATATTGCATGTAGGGGTATACATAACACTTACATTGAGTTAAACCGACCAAAAATAAAAAATCAAGTGGGCACTTACATTGAGTTAGACCGACCAAAAATAAAAAATCAAGTGGGCCACACTTCATGTGAGTGTTATGTACACATCTATGTACATTTATTATATACTTGTAGCATTTTTCATTGTGTTAGCCGTATGGTTTTAAAAATTTTGGGCGACCGACGGAATATGTTAGTTGTTTGTTTTAATTGTTTCGACTGATCAATGAATTGTGTTAGTTAAATGTTTGTTTTAATTGTTTTGGCTGATCGACGAATTGTGTTAGCTATTTTTAATGTAGATTCATTAAAATTACATTTAGTTATATTTAGAAAAATTCTTATGATACAGTTCGATGAATTTCTTTATGTTAGTAAATTACAAATTAGAGGAAATTACACCCCACACTAACACATTTAAATTATATTACACTTTTCTACCCTTTATATACTTATTTTTAAAATTACATAAAGAAGCTACAAATATTTTCAATTATACTTAAAATTCAAATTTTAGTAACTTAACTTTTAATTAAGGAACAAAAATCACACAATCAGAAAAGTGGGCACCGCCCTACAATAGGCCTTCATTCCCAAAACAATCCTCCCTCAAAAACCTTCTCTCGAACCAATCAATTCTGGGAATTGAACCACTCGCCATCTCTGAACTCCCATCCTCGACCACGATCCCGCTACCGGCAATTGTGCCAGTGAGGAAGGCCGCCGGAAATCGCGAGGCCGAGCGCCGCTGCCGCTGGGCGGTTCCCGTCGCGCCGCCGTTGCCGCTAGGCGGCCCCCGCTGCGCTCCTCGATGGCCCTCGCTCTTGGAAGCGAGCTGCTTTGATCGCCGGGACAGTGGACATCGGAAACCCAAGCTTGGAGCTTGGGTCCGCCATCGTTAATGGCGGATGTATTAAAAAAAAAATATTACCGGTGGTTTGACCGCCTGGGAAGAACTCCGGCGAGAGGGCATCGGCCTGGGACGTCTAGGGCTTGTCGGAGTTCGAGCGAAGCGGCCGATGTGTGGTGGGCGAGTAACGGGATGGCTGGAAACAAATTTTGAGTTGCAGGGGCTGATTTTCGAAAATTTGACATATTTTAGGGGTTGATTTGATATTTCGGAAAGTTCCGTTTATTGCAGATTGGCCCCTGGGGCAAATCTGCGATTTTTAAAATGCTTATTATTTTGCAACTAGTACGTACCCCGTGCGATGCACGGGACAAAAATATTAAATGAGTTATTTTCACAGCCTTGTCCGTTTAAGTCTAAAAATAATAGGGTTATTATCTATTTTCTACCGCTTTTAATCAACGTTAAGTCTAAAAAACAATAGGGTTATTATAAGTTTTTTTTCCACATCTTTTAACCAGCATTGTTTTTTTAGTCAGAACATTAAATATGAGCATGTTAGGGCTAGCTTGTAAAATAATTAATATATTATCTTTTTTTTTTGTTTCCTAGTCAAGTTGCGGAAATCACACCCGGGTGAAGGGATTGAGGTTGGAATGAACATGATGATTTATAAATATTTACAATTTTTTGCTATAGTATTTTTGAACGAAGATATTTTTTTTCATTGCAACATATACTGAATATATACCAACATAAACCCAACATATACTCACCTGAACAGTTGCGCGAAATACAATTGCGCGAATTACAATTACGCGAATTAAGGAATTAAAGGAGTTAATCTCTCTCTTAATCAAGTCCATAAAAAGGAAAATTAAATGAGTCAATCTCTCTCTTAATCATGCCCATAAAAAGGGGGATGATGGTTGAATGAATATGGTAACTGACTTTAGGCATTAGTGTAGTTATATATTATCTATTAGGTAAAGATGTAATTATTTGTTTATGAATTGTATTTTTACAATTTTTTTAGAATCTTATAGGATAGATGTAAATTTCCCTACAAATTACTTATATTTAAAAAAAAAAGGATTAGTAATACTATATTAATGAAAGTAGAATTTTCTTAGCTTTAATATTTAAAACGAGGAGCTAACTCGTAAATTAATGAACGAATCAACAACGAATAATGATATACCTTTCTGCTCACATTGTTTAAAATAAGAAAATAAAAGTAAACTCTTATAATACACCAATAAATTCAAAGGACTTAAAATTCAAAGGGAACAGGAAAAATATGGACATTTAAAGAACCGGTCTTCTATTGAGGATGCAAGTATACCTTTCTGCTCACATTTTGTTTAAAATAAGAAAATAAAAGTAAACAAGACATGGGAAATGCTCCAGTATTCACGGTGACACATGTTAATATGCTCACCGCTTATGTGGCATGCACACATTGGTGATGTTAATATATTAAAAAAAATCCATCACTAATGTGTGCATGTCACATAAGCAGGAACAAGACATATAATAATACACCAAGAAATTCAAAGGGAACAGGAAACATACGGAGGCTTAAAAAAATAATTTTAAGGCAACTATCAACTGATATTAAATATTAATATATTTTTTTTGACATATAGCAAATAGTTAAATAGAAAATTAATTTGTAACAACTAATGACAAAGTTCAAATTATTATGGCATTTCGGACAAGAAAGATGCTTCCATATGCCACCGACTTACCAAACTATTTAGTTGGTCAATGTGTTTTTGGTTAGTCCCGGCTGTGTTAGGATTCCATTCTGTTGTGTTGAGAGTTTATTGTTTTCTTTTCTAAAAGTGTTTTGGTTGTAGATTGTTGTTGGTTGTCTTTGCAAGTGCAAGGAAATATGGGTTCAGACTAGTTTTGATCTTTGTAATGTCAGTTGATATTTCGATTGTACTCGTTATTTTGAGTTATATATAGTTTTATCGTCTGACCAAAGAAACGAAATCCTATTTTAGCTAGTCTAATGGTCTCCAATCACATCTGCTAAAAAATGGTGCAAAACCAAATCAAATTTATTATTTGACAATAACATAGTTAAATTTTTACGGAAATCTCATGTTTAATAATACCTTTCTTTTTATTCAAAAATTTATATGCATATAGGCTATGTTTAGTAAGCCAAATAAGGTAGTTTATAGCTTATTTAGTTAGCTTATAAGCTTCTTGTATTCAAATAAGCCTCGTTTGGTAGAACGAGCTCGAGTTTATCTCATAAGCTACTGTAGGTAGCTTTTCAAATAAATTAGTTGAATTTTTTATTTCAACTAGCTTATCAACTAATTTTATCAAACACTTTTATTATATAAGTTAGCTTTTCAGCTATAAGTCATAAGCTATAAGCTCAAAAATTACATATAAATTATAAACTAGCTTATCAGCTACCAACTAGCTTATCAACTAATTTTACCAAAAATTACATATAAATTATAAGCTAGCTTATCAGCTACCAACTAGCTTATCCCAAACGTGCACTAAATTTCCCTTCATTAACCTTTTTTTTTAGTGAGGGAGAAGTTTCCAAATCCACGAAATCACGCGTAGGGATATTATTATTATTTTCTTCAAATTGGTCCTTTCAATTTGTAACAAGACAAGTCTGAGTTGGATCACTCTCAACAGAATTTTCTCTGTCAACTTATTTGCCAACTTTTTCGTTTCGGTACAACCATTAGCTGCTTTGAATAGATAGCTAATCCACTATTCACGTACTGATTTTACTACCGTGTAATGCAATCAACAAATAACAAACACAACATATAAATTGATTTTAGACTATCTTACATCAAAGATAATTGCTATATTAACACCACTCCAACTCTTTCCCCAAAGCACCCAATAACAGTGATGAGCCTATGTGGGGAAGAACAAGTACTTTCCATGCATTTCAAGACAAGAAAAAGAGTGCATCTAAGCTGTGGAGAAGAAATATCAAAGTTTGATTACATTTCATGAGGGGATAAGCACTAGTTACCATAGAGAAGTAGTTTCACATTTCAAAATTCAGATTACAATTAAACAAATTCAGCCAAATACGTCGCGAGAGAAATCAGTATGACCTGCGTAAATATTACAGATCATGCAGCAACATACACAATAATTTTTTTTCGCTTTTCCCAACAGATGGAACATGACTTAATCTGAATACCACACTTAAGCCCCTTCTGCTAGTGTTCCCTTTGATGTGCTGATATAGAGCACTGCATATCGCAGAACAATTAAATCAATTATTAATCTAAAATCATAAACGGGCTAAACAAAAAAATAATATAGCTGATCAAGAAACGTTTGGCTACCATTTATATAGCATTACCATTATTCCCCCTGATGAAGGCATCACCGTATTTGTTCTTCAACTGGCCATTCACATACTCCTCTGTTTGTTCCATTGCGATATTCATGTACCCATCAAGACATGCAAGAATACCTATTGGGAGAAAAGTAAGGGTGATGTGTTTTTGTTAAATGATGAATCGGGTAGAGTTCATATGGAGAGTATCCATGCAAATCCCATTTAATTATTATACAACTAAATAAAACAAACATTTTTTAAGAGACTCAAACTTAAACAGTGCCAGGTATCAATCAAAACATGTTCCAGGCATAATTCGAAACAAGATCCAATGAAACCCATCATCACCTTCACACCCTACTACCCTAGTATTTTCCACCTGTGCAACTTGTTTATTTAAAGTTTCAGCAGTATTGAGGTTGAATCAAATCTAGTGCCTTTTGAAAGTAAAATTACAGTCTAGTTCCTATCAAGGTTTCCTTGTTTACTGTCTAATACTTCTATTGAGGTTTATCCATTACATAGTTTGGTTTTGTCCATTACATAGTTTGGTTTATCCATTCCAACGGAGGCCTCCTGATGCACCGGTGCGTAGGGGAGTTCTACAGCGGGTCGAGGATGTTAAGAGAGGTAGAGGTCGGCCTAAACTCACTTGGGAAGAGTCGGTTAAGAGAGACCTTAAAGATTGGAATATCTCCAAGGATTTAGCGGTGGATAGGAGCGCTTGGAGGCTCGCTATCAACGTGCCAGAACCGTGACTTTTGCTCCTTTCTCTCTCTCTCTCTCTTTTTTTTTTTCGATCTCTTCCTTTCGGTTCGAGTCTTTTTGTGTTTCTCTTGGGTTTCATCTCTAGCCTACCCCGACTTGCTTGGGACTAAAGGCTATGTTGTTGTTGTTTGTTGTACAGTTTACGCTGAATAAGTTTGTTCTCTAGCAAGAAAAATAACTGAGAATTGTCCTTAACCTTTAATCCAGCACTTTAAAACACTTATTTAAGGATTCATTCATATACAAACAAATAGCAGAGCAGAACCCCGATCATATATTTTAAATGGCACTAGATTCATATCAATATTTCAATAGCCCAGCTATAGGACTCTTGATAAATGTCTCGAATTTAGGACTCTACACGCCTCTTTCAAAATTGAATATCTCAAATCTAATCAAACACAGACCAATTCCTTCCAATAAACAAATAATCAAAAAATCACTGACAATTAATCACATCAAAATAACTTCTTGCTAATATCTATTCCATAATTGCAACAGAACACATCATCATTTGCTAATATGTCACACAACCGAGAAAAAAGAAGAAGCCCCACATGGAAATGCAAGATTCCGATGACATTGACCACTTAAAATGCCACAATATAGTTAATTATGCAAAAAAGCCGACCAGCAATGAAGAGAACTTAAAAAAGACTAAACAGGTTGAAAACAAAAATAAGGGAGGAAGTAAATGAAACTGGCCTCTATAATCAACTCCGGAGTTCAATTTCACTACAACAGGTCGTCCGCGTATTGATTTGAGAAAATCAGCTGGAGTCTTTGTGGTCGATGGTTTGTCAGCCGCGGTACTCATTTTTCTCCAAAAATAATTGCTACCAAGAAATAGAAACAACTCAATCAATTTAATAAGCATAAGCCAAGATAGCCTTTCGACAATCTAAATCTCCTTTCAGGTAAAAAAAAGGAAGAACAAGATTTTTTTTTTCTTTTTTCTTTTTCAAAGATATGGAAAAATCAAAACGTAATTGATGGCTTTCTAATCAGAAGAAAATTTGAGAAAACTATGACAAATGTAACTAACCAAGTTCAACAAATTTTTCGACGGCCCTTAGAATCGGCGACGATGGCGATTTTGGCCGAGTAGTTGAATGCTCTACAGTGGGAGGAGGTGGAGAAGTAAAGAGACGCGAAGTTAGGGTTTGGGTTTTAACTTTTTTGTAAACATGTCGGGCTGGCAGGCCGGGTATCCGGGCCAATAAAGTGCAACATGACCCTCATGGAATTAATAGAATAGAAAATTATAAATATACAAAAAAAAATACACATTTATTAAAAAATAATATATATTATTTGTACAACGAATAAAATAGGGATTAAGATAATGATGTCTACTTAGACTATGTCTGGTAAATATAAGTTAGCCCGATGTAGTAAGATATAGTCATAACTTGACTAAACAGACCGATGTTATATAATTTAGGCCGACTGAGTGAATAATGGGTCAAGTCGACTTATGGAGAATATATGGATACAATGGAAGTGGGACGAGACGACTAAAGCCATGATGGGCGACATGTTAAGGGATAAACGACCTAAGCTATTAAGATTCGTCGACAAGACATAAGACGACCTATAGGAGGATCGAGCTGGGTAGTATCTCGCTCGAAGATCCTACTTACCGATATTCATGAAGGCCACGTGAAGGACTGCGACATGTTGGCACTTGGTCAACTACGAGTACTTAGAAACCTAAGTCGAAAGAGATACTTAGTGAGAACTAATGGGAATCTAATCAGGATAATAAAAAACCTAATGGTGATAAGGATGAAATCAAGATAAGATTAAACTTGTTGTTTGGCCTGATCTTATACAAAGCAAATATTGGGATAGAAGTCAAATAAGACTAAGTTATCATGATCAAATTGTAACAAATTGTAAAGTTTTTTTTTTTTTTTTTCGTNTACAATCATGAAGAAGATTTTTAGGAATAAATGGTCTAGATGCATCTGAAGGAGGAATTTTGAATTGCCAATATGTGAGATAGACAAACTTGAACCCTTATCAACATGAATCTTGTTGTTTCCTTGATACTCAGTGGCAAAGTTCAGATTGGAGAGATCACTTGTGACATGGTTTGAGGCTCCACAGTCCGCAAACCACATTGAATCTTGATTTGGGTCAGGTGAGACAACCATAACATTCAGAGAGGTCATATGAAGAGGATTATGATTTGCAACTTGAGGTTGAGTTGTCTGAGCCTTCATATTTGTAGGTAGTTGGCTATCTTATATGTGATAACAACTCTTAGCATTATGGTTGTTGAGTCCACATAGTTGACAAGAAGGCCTATTGTTGTTTTTGTAGCCTCGAACTCTTCATTCTCTATAATTGTTAAACCTTCATCTCCCTGTCTGAGAAGAAAATGAACCCTTTGTGTTGATGAAGTTAGAGAAGTTTCGTTGAGGGCTTCTCAATTGAAGCTAGATTCAGTGATTCACACTAGGCACAAATCCATCAGGATTGACTATGTTTTAAACTCCCATATCAAGTCTTGATTCAAGTCTAAGCAACACAGCATATACTTCATTTAGAGTATATGTTTCAACCCTTGAGGTGATAACAATAACAGCAGGGTTACATTCATTACCTAGACCAACAAGAATGTAGGGGATTTTGTTCTGTTCTGAAAGAAGTTCGGCAGCTATACCTAGGGCATCACAACAGGCTTTGACCTTGCCCAAGAACTCCCTCATTGCAATTGCAGCTTGTGGTGAATGAGTCTAGCTTTAGATACACAAGAGAAATTAGCTTCCAAGGACCACCATACATTTCTTGATGTGTTCTTTCGAACCATCATAATAAGTAGATTCTCACTTAGAGAGGATAACAAAAAAAGACATAAGGAGTTGATCCTATCTTAACTAAGCTGCATATTCTCGATTTAGAATTGGTTGAGATGTGTTTTCAAAAGAGATGAAGCATTGTGGTGGAATGCAATGTGCTGCAATGAAGCTTTCCAAGCCATAACCGATGATAGAACTATAAGTTTGTTGTTTCCATAACAAATAATTTGTATTTTTGAGCTTGATATAGGTTAACTGATCTTGAGGTTGGATGAACGATCAACTATTGGTTGATAAATGATTGTTTTTGTTGTGTGATGAGGCTTGAGAGGCCATTTTTTGAATGAATTGGTAGATCTAAAAACTAAACCAACCCAAAAAAACTCGAGCCCTATGATAGATCTAGCTTTTGGTATCATTTTAGGAAAGGTAAGGAAAGCATATCGAAAAGATAAGAAGCAAGAAAGCTCAATCAAGTTTCTTTCATTTCTCCATATGTGACATTACACCTTTCCTTCTTCATTGCTTGCTAGAGTTACAAATGTAGTAAGATATATATAGTAAGCTTTCTTAATCCTATGGTCTAGATTACATCATCATTGTCTTCTTTGTATTGATGAGTTGTATATCCTCAAGATTCTTTCTCCTTTTACCCAAAGGTACTTCATGATGACTAGACAAAGACTTGTCTTGATCTGCTATTTCCATGCATTGACTATGAAGGCGAGGTGTCCGAGATTCAGTGTCTTTTTGTGCAATATACTTGTGTGTTAGTTTACATGCATGTCATGTATGCTATCAACTAGGCATGCTAGAACGCTAGAATGGTTGTTTGAGAATGAGTATGAATAAATTGGATACGATTTTGAGTTCGAGCAAGCGCATAAAGGCTCCAGGCACATTGGCGTTATAACTCCAGAGCAAAAATGAATATATAAACAACATTACGAAGCATAGATTTTTACCATGTCAGCATCCGAAGCCCGAGAATCTGCCCCTTAGGCTCAACATGTTTTGAATTAATATATAGGGAGGGATTTATGGAGAGTTATAAACACATGCAAGTTCACTAAAATCTTGTGTATTTGAAGTGCCACTATGTACAGGATAACAGTCATTGTATCTTGGAAATCTTTGTCGAAAATCATGAGCATTAATTAGTAAGAATTTCGTCTTACATATAGCATGTTTCATGTGTCTCGAATTTGATAATTTTTTGTTCGAGTTTGTTCGAGAATCATGTTGTGGTTGAATCGAGCTATTTGTTATCATTATATATTCGTACTATTTTTTGTCATTCTACGAAAGACAAATGTACACACTATCTCCATCATTATTTTTGTAGAGCTACGATTGATTTGTTTTCAATTTATATTTGGTCAAGTACACCTTATTGTATTTAGTTACAAGCAATGAAAACATTTAAAGAAACAAAAAGGGTTCTCATGAAGTGATACCAAAAATAATTTTTTTCTTAACAATTTGTCTGCAGAACCCAGCCTAGGATAATGAGATGTTCATTATATTGCACAAATGAGCTATTCGAGAAACAACAGTGGATCATGAGCCTGTCCCTAAATGTTCTCCCAAATCCAGCGTTCCTTTCTTCATCATTGCAACAAATTCATCATAATTTATTTTCCCGTCCTGTGGCAACAATAAAAAAAAAAATTAAAGCAATTTCATAGGTTAATTCTATTAATGAGTCAAAAATAAGTTCAAATCAAGAAGATGCGGTATAAATAAACGAGGCAGCATACTTTGTCGGTGTCGACATCATCAAGAACCTCGTCAATTGTAGCTTCATCCCCCATTCCATATTGTGTCATGGCCTGCCTAAGCTCATCTCTCGTTATGTGTCTGATTGCATGCAAATTGTGAATTAACATTGTTCTTCTCCCTCGGTTAGCAATAAGAATTAACATGATTAATTGTAACAAGTAACAAAACATGAATATTGGAAGTCAAAGAAGAAAGTTATTAGTTACCCGCTGTTATCCTTGTCAAAATACTGAAAAGCCTTGTATAGATTCTCCTCTTTATCCAGTCTGTGTCGGTGCATGGTCGCGGTTATGAACTCGATATAGTCTATGGTCCCATTCTTGTCCACATCAGCCTATGGTAAGCAAAAACGAACATTACATATTATATCCTCGCTCGTATTCTTTTACGATGTTGTAAAGAATTCTTACAGCTTCCATTAGTTGTTGTATTTCGATTTCACTGAGCTTGGATCCGAGCTTAGACAGCCCAGCTCGTAGTTCTTCGTACGTGATGGTCCCACTTCTATCTGTGTCTATGTTGTCGAACATTTGTTTCAGTCCCTTGATTTCTTCTTCCGACAGGTTTTCAGCAATAACCTTCATCCAAATCCATACTCGTAAATCAGCAAATTTATATTTCATTCATTGGTTTGTTTATATTTATAATTATTTTCTTTTGCTAGTATTTATTTGATTACTTGATTCAATATTCATCCAATCTTACTAATATACCTTAAGTGCAAGCTTTTTCAGCTTGTTCATGGCCCTGAATTGCTTCATCCTGATTAAAACTGCGCTGTCGATCGGTTTATCAGATGCTTCACCATCTTCCTTAAGCCATGGGTGCTCTGATCAGTTGATCAATCAAGTTTCATTTCACGGCCTCATTTGAGTTCATTTTAAATTGTATGAAAAAAAAATAAATTTGTTGATTACTTTACTGACCAAGTGCCTCATCAGCTGTAATTCTTTTCTTTGGATCAATGGTCAGCATTTTCTTAATGAGATCTTTGGCACCATCAGATATCGAAGGCCATGGGGACGATTGGAGATCAACATGACCCGCCAGAATTTCCTCAAATATGCCTTTCTCCGTCTCTGGAAACGCAAAGCACTCATTGGATGAATTGAATTTGAAAGGTTGTAATCTAAATTATATCAGCACTTATACACAAATCAATATAATATTATGCATACAAAATCAAAATTAGAAATTTCAACCTACTAGTTAGACAAATGAGACCCATAGGATGATTTGAATATGAGTTCGTAATCAAAACAAGATTTTTTATTTATGAAATTTTTTTTATGTTTAGAGTATTTGATCAAATAATGATAAACTTACCAGCCCAAAAAGGAGGGAATCCACTTAAAAGTATGTACAGTATAACTCCAGCACTCCATACATCAATCTCCTTCCCGTAGTTTCTTCGCAGAACTTCTGGAGCTACATAGTAAGCACTCCCCACAACTTCTTTGTACACTTTTCCTGAATTTTTTTTATGAAAATTTGAAGTAAAATGAAAATAAGAATTTTGCAACGTTTTACTCGTTTGAAATGATTTTTGAGAAATTGAATTACAAGTACAAATAAGCACCAATGTGTATGGCCTATTCATGAAATGAGAACCAAGTAAGTTGTGAATTATATGAAATTGGAGTTCATTTAATTAGACACAATCTCATATATAGTCATTACTTTTGGCACAATCCAAATCCATTAAATATATGCCACTCTATATATTAGTGCAGAGTTTTGCGAGAATATATGAGTCAAGTTTTGGTGCTTTTACAATTTTATATGTTGGTTATTCATAATCCTATATGGTTAATTCTGATGAGATTTTAACTTTTGTAATTAGTAAGACATATTAAATTATAAGCTTTTCTATTATATTAAATTATAAATATGTTTTAAAAATTAATAACATTTGTATTTGTTATTATTTTTTATATATAATAAATCAGTTATTCATCTCTTAGTGAATTTATTGTATATATAAATTAGTTAGATTCACTACAAGAAATTGTCAAAATGCCAATAAAAATTACCAGTAAAAACTTTTCTGTTGGAGATTACCAACAGATCAAAAAGGGATTAACAATGCATTATATATATAATTATTTTATACGGATTACTAACACAATATTACAACGAAAAAAAAAATCTTCTTATTCTGTTGGCAGATAGTGACGGAGATAGAAATAACAGGAATTATCAATTAAATAAATTTATCAACAAACTCATTATCCGGAGTTAGAAAAATTATAATAATATGATATGGGTAAGTTGTTTTTATAATATAAATGACAATATAATTTTAAAAAAAATATTTAAAATAAAAAACAAATTAAATTTTTTCTCTCTTTCTGAATTTAAATATAATTTATTTTACTAACATCCATCATATAATACAACGTGGTTGTACTAGTTTAGTATTTAAAAGCAAGTTCATAGTCATTTTTCTTGGGTGGATTAAGTTTTTCGTATTCAACCCAGTAAACTGCAAACGAATCAAGTATACAATGTTAATCATTGTACATGGCGTCGTTCTTTGTTAACATAAAATATCGTTAAGAAAGTCATAGAACATGTTATGGACGATGGAATTTCGATTCTTAAGGTGGTCCTTGGATATAAATTATGATAACACAAATTTAATCAAAACTCAAATTTAATTTAACCCAGCTTTCTTCAATATATTTAAATAATATCAATCAATCATCCTCACACATCACATCAACTATAATTCACTTTTCATCCACTCAAATAATTTAAAAGCTCATTACTTCCAATCACATCTCTCTAATACTTTTACATCAAATTAGTTTCAATTATTTATTTATAAATTATTTTAATACAAACTCAAAATCTCATTCAAACTCAGTTCAACCTTTTTTTTTTTCAAAATTAACTCTGACTAACAAAAAAGTCCAATAAAAAAGAACTTATATACCCTGGAAGAAAAGTCAGTCAGTCCATTCTCAAATATGCAAAAATTTATAATAGTAGATAGAAGCATACTTTAGTTGCATTAGATAAGCCTAACGGTTAGATAGTCATACTTTTCAATCAAACTACATACTATGAAACTCCAATGTCATATTTAAGAATAAATATAAATAAATGTATAGTATTTCTTGGAATAAGGATATAATAATTTTGTTAAAAGAGTATGATAAGTTGACCCGCGTAATGGTTATGCCGCTCATTAGAGGTTCTTTTTTTTACTTGTTTTGAAATTGAGATTTTTTTCCTCCTTTCATNCTATTACACCTTTTTTTTTGTCGAAACGGCAATTATATTAAAAACTAAAAAAAATCAAAAGAGTACAAAAGAAGCGTGTCAACTGACACGAAGGAACCAGAAAAACTGGACCTACCCCCTTCAAACAACACAGGTGTCCAAGGGGTACAACCTTCAACAAGAAGACAAAAAACAACACTGAAACACAACTCCATAAAGGAGATAAAACTTCATGAAGGAGACAAGATGTCAGACACCACTGGACTTGACAAAACAAAACAAAAATAAAAGAAGACTAAAACTAACACACATCTAATGTACAAAAAAGAGAAAGACCTCCCCTAAACCTAGCAGAAGAACCACACGACCACCTAAACTGACAACCGAGTCACACCCACGACCAAGAACCTCAAATGAGCAGCAAAACTAGACTCTAAACTTCAAAACTACGGCCAGTCAAACCGCCTAGACGAATTTTCAGTCCATATTTGGACCGGAAGAGCTTTGGGGCCCAGGAAAAGAGGGGAACCACCAAGAATATGTTGGAGGGCTCGAGACAAGGAACCATGGAGTCACCTCGTGGCTCGCATCCAAGTGGCCAGGCCCAATGACCCGAATCCCCTAGGAGCTGACCACACCCGTGCCTCCATGGTGCTGAAAATGAGTTCGCGAATGGTAGGGAAATGTGCATGTCTACCTCTCAAATATGCTAGAATATCACTTGTGAGTTGTCTCACATCGTTCATACATGGAAAATAAATTCACCTTATAAAACCAATCGGCTACTCCTTCCACCAATTGGTTTTGGGATGGAACCCCGCTTGAGCTTCATATGGACTTTTCCCCGTTCATGGTGCGCTTCATGTTAGTGGGCTCGCGCCCGTTTCTCCCCCAGTTTCTGTCATGGTATCAGAGCCGGTTCTATTGGTGACTGTGCGATGACGGACCCGTCACCCAGCTCAGTTGGGCTTGGGGTTTTGAAGAACTCACAAGTGAAGGGACGTGCTAGAATATCACTTGTGAGCTCAGCTCAGTTGGGCTTGGGCTTTCGAAGAACTCACAAGTGAGGGGACGTGCTAGAATATCACTTGTGAGTTGTCCCACATCGTTCATACATGGAAAATAGACCCACCTTATAAGACTAATGGGCTACTCCTCCTTCCACCAATTGGTTTTGGAATGGAACCCCACTTGAGCTTCATATGGACTTTTCCCTGTTCATGGTGGGCTTCATGTTAGTAGGTCTGCGCCCGTTTTTCCCTCAATTTCTGTCATAATATATAATGTTACTCTTTCCGCTTTTAAGAAATAATAAAAATGTTATATAAGTTCTATGTTAATACTTAAATATCCACTATATATATGTGTATATTTTCCAGCTCAATAATAAGCACATAGAAGGGTATCTCTATCAGCCCCACCATTTTAGAAAAAAGTTAAATGGGAAAACAAGACTGGTCTGCTTGACCTGTCAATTTATAGTTGACCCCGTTGACCTATAGTGACATCCACACGTATAACACAAGTATCATGTTACACCAAAGAAAACGACCCTACACTTGCCCACTGTCGTACATTTGTAAATCGAATTTCTAAATTTCGTCCATGCAAGATGTTCCATCTTTTTCTGCACAACAGAGTAGAAAAAAATCTGTTGATCACCACTAATATTTGTCCATAGTTCCGCGTGAGCCTCCGAAAAGTTGAAGTGACCAAATGTTGCAAAGTCTACTTGAAGAACCTAAGAGTCTAAGACCAATTGGGCCTCTGGGTCGGGTCATCACCTTTGCCCTATAAAGTTCAAACCTCAAATATCACTTTTAAGTTTTATTTTTTATTTCATTATATTGGATGGATGATCGATGTCATATTTTTTTGTAACATGTTTATTTATCCAATAGAATAGAAAAAAAGAACGTAACAATTAGTAACCAATATTTAGTACCAAGTGCCCGTGAGAACAGTTAATTAAAACTCACGGTTCAAAATTCACACATTTGAAGCAACTGATACTTTAGATAAAAGCAATCTACTCAATCAAACTAATCTAATCACAAGAAAACCTCATCTACCTAATTCTAAATAGGTATACTCCTCAAATAATTCAAAAATAGATAGAATGTACTGCCTGATCGTTCCATTAAAATAGAACACAGTTTCAGTTAATGGACTAGAATTTCACCGTCTCAAATGCTAATGGACCAAGTTTGCAATTGTACGCAATTTCAATAAAATATAAGGAGAAAAGACTTATTGTTCTGTGTGTTTGCCTTTTAAGTTGGTTCTAAACTACATTTACTGTAGTTATCCCAACTAAATTCAACTGATTGGCTGATTTATTCGGCTGTTTAACTGTTTTCTATTCTGTATTTATGTGTTTCGTTCTATGAATTCTATCTTTTCCACAAAAGAAAAAAATAGAAAGATATTAAGCTAACCCGAGTCGATAAAAACGGAGAGCCCAAAGTCGGTGGCCTTCAACGGCGCGTCCTCGTCTCGACTAACCATCAAGAAGTTCTCTGGCTTGAGATCCCTATGCATGACCCCCATGAAATGGCAGACGTGGACCACGTTCACGACCTGCCTCCCAATCCTCGCGGCCTCCTTTTCCGAGTAGCTCCCCTTGGCCGTTATCCTGTCGAAGAGCTCCCCTCCCGAGCACAGCTCCATCACCAGATGCAGTCCCTTCCCGTCCTCGTGGGCCCCCCTGAACTCCACTATGTTGGGCTGGCCGGTCAGGTGTTGTAAAATCATGATCTCACGACGCACGTCCTGCATGTCCTTCTCGGTTTTCAGCTTGCTTCTCGAGATGGACTTGCACGCGTATTTGAGGCCGGTCGATTTTTCGGTGCAAAGGTACGTAACGCCGAACTGGCCTCGCCCGAGCTCACGGTCGAGGTCGTAGAGAGATGTGATGTCGGAGTAGGGTTTTCCTAGGATGGGGCCGATGGGCGGTGGGGAAGGGGCGGGTGGAGGTGGGGCGGACCAAATCGGGTCATGGTGGTGGGGAAGGGCAAAATCGGAAGAGGAGGAAGTTGATGAGATGTGGATGTCTCTGGATCTCTTCAATTTTGAGAAGCAGAATCCCATTTGGAAAGAGAGAGAGAGGGAGAATGAGGAAGAATTGGAGAGAAGAAATGGTTATGGGGTTAAGGATGTCAGAGAATGGACAGGGATTGAATTGAGTCTGCTTTATGAGATGCTTTGCTTAATGTGGGGTTTAGGGGTGAGTGTGTTTTTTGGTTAAACTGTTTTCTCTTTTCTGTTATACTTGGTCTGCTTTCTTGGTATACCCATATTACATAATTTACATTACCTTTTCCAGGGAGGATATATATATAAAGAAAAAGTACCTTATGTGTCCATTTCGGTTGGTTAATGTTCTGTTTAAATTGATAATTCGGTCGATTTCGGTTATTGGCATAGTATGATTCAATTATTTCGGTTTTCCTAATTTGGTTCGGTCGTCGATGCACACCCCTAATTGTGTCCATTCCCTTTCAAATTTCTGCGTCCGCCACTGGAGAGAGTGATGGGAAAGAGAAGTGAGAGAGTATTGGGACTTGTGAGAGAGAGGTGAAGATGCAAATTAATATATATTGTAAGGTAAAAAAAAATTGAAAGAAGGAAAAAAATGTTGGGAGAATGAGAATAAAAATTAATTATTTATCTTTTTCTTTTTTAAAATTACTTTGAATATATCAAAAGCTGATAGAGAATTAAGTAATAGTTTTATATTTTTTTAAAATTGGCCAATTATTTTAACGAAAACAAATTGGACCAAAAATTAACACATCATACACATCTGATCCATTAAATATGTGGTCAAAATTATTAATAAATGATGTATTTTAAAAATTAATTGGGAAACTACATGTTTTAATTGGATTACATTATGTGACCATTTTTAAATATTAACAGTATATAAGTAGTCAAAATTTGGTGCAATCTCAAGTCAATCTTTCAAATTTCAAATGAAGAAAGAACTGATACTCCAACTTACATTTCCGAAACACAATTCTTGGATGGTGAAGCATCCTAGCAACCCAAACTCTCAAGTTGGTGACATTAAATTATAAAAGCCATTACAATAGGCTTTTTTTTTTTTTTTTTTTTTTTNCAACACCGAAAACAATTCAGGTTTTACAATCCAAATGCATCCTGCAAGAAACTAAAGTACAAGAACAAATCTTTCATTCCTTTCATCAGTAGCAAAGGTAGAATATTAGCAAATTGAAGCCTAACAACAGCTTTAGCAAATTAATGTTTGAGCCAATAGAATTAGATCATGATCATCCCTTACAAACGGTCCTCACGCACTTTGGGTGCACCTCATACCCACACCCGATGCACTGGTAGGCCCATCCGGCCCCTTGCTCTTCACAATCGCAGCATATGAAGGGCCCACCTCCATTCCCTTCCGACACCAACATCAGCTCATGCTGGTGGCCCGAGTGGTACTCCGATTCCGGAAGCTTCCGGGCCTCCTCATCCGCCTGCCTCGTCAGCAACTCTATTCTGTCTCCCGTGAATGGGTAAGCCTTCTCCAGGTACAGGTTCACTAGGTTCCTTCCCGACTTTGTCACCGTTTTCCCATCCGTCCCCAAAATAACCAAGCTCGGAATCCCCCGAACGTCGAAATACTTTGCCAGCCTTTTTATGTTGGGGTCCCCATAAGGTAGGGCCAGCCATGGCATGGTACAGAAATAGGACTCGAAACAAGTTTGACTTTGGTCGCTCGAGATGAACACTATCTCAAAGCCTTGTGTGCCGTTGAAGCCCATATCTTGGTTGATTTTCCGGTAGATGGAGGCTAATTTGGGGGTGAATTTCATGGCCGGGGAGCACCATTGAGCCGAGAAATAGAGTCCAATCGTTTTCCCGGTTAGTGATGTGACCGGAACCTGTACATAAATCGACTCAAGATGTAATAAACTTAGGCTGTGTGTGGTAATTAAACTAGTTGATATGCTAACTTATAGCTTATAACTGATTTTTGAACTTATAACTTTTAACTTATGAGTTATAACTGAAAATAAAAGTATTTGATAAAATTAGCTGATAAGCTAGCTGAAATAAAAATTTCAACCAACTTATTTGAAAGCTACTCAAAGAAGCTTATTAGATGAGCTCGAGCTTTTTAAAAAATGACGTCCTATCAAACAAATCTTAATAGAATCTTATTTGAATACAAAAAGTTTATAAGCTAACCAAATAAGCTATAAACTAGCTTATTTAGTTACCGAACATAGCCTTAATTGTTTACCAAGTTTAGAAGTCCCTAATTAGTAATGCATAGTTTTAAATTCAACAAATTAACACAAACTAGACTACCTTTTCTGGATTTGAATGACTCAAGAGAAAATCTCTTTCACGGTTAGTGAGCAAATCCTGCAGAGTCTGGTTTTCGTGCTTCTCGTTCTCGAGCCGCATCAACTCGTCCAACCTATCTTTCGTAAAAGGATAAGCTTGTGCCCCGTGTTGGTAAATGAGATCAACTCCATCTACAATTGTCGAGTCTTTATCACCGTCCGGTTGTAAAATGACCAAACAGGGTATGCTTTCCACGTCAAACTTCCGATTCAAAGCTCTCTTTGTATCCATGTCGGAAAATGGGATTGCAGGCCACGGCATCAAGGCACGATATTCATCGAACGCACTCTGGTCTTCGTCGGACGAGACAAAGACTATTTCGAAACCGGGATTTTGATTCTTCAGCTGCTCGTAAGCATTGGTCAGGAGTTTGGTGAACTGGTGACATGGCAGGCACCAATTGGCCGAAAAGTATATGGCGACGATTTTGCCCTCGAGATCCGAGATTTTGACCTGAATGTATGTAGTTTATAAACTGTTACTACTGATTTTCATATAAAAAGGGGTGTGTGTTTCTGTTTTTTTTTTTTTTTTTTTTTTTTTTTTTTTTTTNNNNATTTAGTATTGCTTAATTGGATGGCTACTGCCCGTTTGAAATTCATTGGATAAAAAATAAATCAATCGAAGATCGAAGCTCAATCTCCAAGAAGGAACTTCATGTGTACAATAATCACAAACAATGTACCCAAACAATGATTCTAGTGTTCCATTTCATATATAGTAGCCTTTTCTTCTTCGAAAAATAATTACAATCAAGTCGCCTGAATGTCAATATGTCATCATGTGTACAACAATCACAAATTCACAGTCATCTTAACATCTCCGAATTACAATCATCAGACATTACTGTATATCGACTCACATAACATTTTACTGATTCACAAATCACAACCAAGTCAAGTTCCAACTGGGTTTAATTTAATTTCTTCTAATTAATTATAATCTAATAAATTCATTGGAGTACAAACTTCTTTTTCCCTTTGCTTTTTTTTTTTCCCCCAAATAACCAGGTTAATCCAGAAACACACACCAATAAATAATATTTGATCAGCTCGAAAGAGTACTTACCTGAGTTCCAGTGGGCGAGAGTAAAAAGTCACGATCTTTTGATGAGGAAAGAGAACATAAAATAGGAGCAGATGAAGAAACTATTTCAGATTCATGATCATCACTCTTGCAATTTCTTACCAAACCATATCCATCATCAACTCCATTTTTACTCACTTCAAAATTTTCAACCTCAACTAATTCCTGCTTCGTAACTCTCTCTCTCTCTCTCCCTCTCTCTTACGGTTTGTTCCCACAGGTAAATGGAAGTATACTATTTCTCTCTACATATATTGGAGCTCGAAATAGTACTTAATTATTATTAATTAATAATTATTAATTTAATAATTTCTCATACGTTTTGGCTTGACAAATCAAATCAGAAAAGCGACACGTTTCATTTTTTCCAAACTTTATTATTAGTCCTCGGGAGTTGGGATAATGCTTCACAGGTAAAGAAAGCAATGAATTGACTGACTGCTCCTATTTTAATATTACTAGTAAGAATATTTACAAAAATAACAATATAAAAAATAATTATTTTTTTATGTTAATATATTCAGTTATTTTTATGAGTGGGTGTGACTTAAAATTTGAGTATAATTTTATAACTCTTTTAATTAATTTATGCTCATAATTTATGGTATTCAAGCAAGTATTTTATAACTTAAAAATGAAATTGAATGTTGAAAATTTTAAAGGATAATAAAATTTAATGCATGATAATATAATTAAATGTTATGTTACTCTTCTTTATCTCTCTTATCTAAAAGAGTTAGGCCTTCTATATGATTGACACATATCCATTTTTGTAGTCTTTGGCCTTCATATGACGACAAATGGCTTATTGTATGAGCGAACACGTGTACCATTAGTGAATTACCATTTCTACTACAAATGGCCTTCTAAACTACGTAGTGTATGGTCTTTT